GAGATGGGCTCTGCAAGACATGCAGAGGACAGCCCTAAAAGCAGATAATCAGATTGTGATAAATTGGTTGATGGCAGCGCCTCACTTCATTTGGGAGAATACAGGTGACCCGCTAGAGCAAGTCACTATATAGACTTGGTAACTGTGCAACATAAAATGGGCATACAGCAGAGAATGTTTGCACTGCATAGCTGTAGTCCCGATGAGGAACTGCTGATGGCATGCATAAGGGACATATGATCCTGGTAAACGAGTTGGCTGGCACCTTTGGGTCAATGGCAGCCCTTCTAGCCTCCTTTACAGATCGCCTGATCCACAATGCTGCTGATGCCGTGGCCAGGTTGGGAGATTTAAAAATAAAACACCACAGTAAGGCAAGATCTGTAAAAACTGTACTGGCAGAGGAAAAGCGGGCTGTACCTTGGCAAATGCAGCTGTCCCCCCAAGGACAAGCTGGGGAGCTATTGAAGGTCAGTGGAAGTCAGATCTGGATAGACCTGCTGGCCTAGCCACAGATTAGACAGGCAGTCTTTGGATGTGGAGGCAATTACACTGTAAGCAGCAATTCTGGCCGATGGGTCAGGGCCAGCAGGCCAAAGCACCCCAGTGAAGCCAGAAGAAATTACACTGGCCTCCTTCCACCTTGATTAGGAGGCAGGCCATGCTACCCATGTCCCCAGGAAAACCAGAGGTCACATATGAAGTTGACTATTTACTGGTCCTTCAAAATTTGCTGGACTATTTACTGTGCAATGTGTACCAATATTGATACCAGAGCTGAGTCAATGCTGATGTACCACAACCCAACTCTGTATCCATAAAAGGATACAGAGGTCACTACATTGTGGTCTGGAAGATTCTGAGTATCAGGTCTTTGCCCCTATGTTTATATGTTTATGTTTCCCCAGTTGCTGAATACACACTGGGAGTAACACACTGACTGGTGCTCAGCTTGATATTATGCAGGGAGAATTCCAATGGTGAATTCATGTGGTTAAAAACTATACTCCCAGGCCATCCACACCACGCACTGCTGACTCTCTTACAGGCCATGTGGGTTGTGCACATGAAGCAGTACTGGCTACCTGGTGGCCGTGAGGAAATGGGACAGACTGTCTTGAAATTTAAAAAATATGGCTGGGGATTTAGCTCAATGGCATAAGCACCTGCCTTGCAAGGGCGCAGTCCTGAGTTTGATCCCTGGTACCAAAAAAAGAAAAAAAAAGGATGAAACTTTAAAAATATGAGTAATACTCCATACACAGAGCCCTGCAGTATAGCTCATGCAGAAGTCAGATAGGTCATGGTTGATCACTGTGAAGTCTTACCCTGACGCTGGCAGTCAGGACCAATTTGTCTTCACCCAGGAGGGCAGGCAACAGACCTTCCAGATGTCACCACAAGGCTAGCTGCATAGCCCAACTTTGAAGCATGGCCTACTGGCTATGGACCTGGCCATCTAGGCCAACCCACACTCTGTGTCAGTTTTGTTACTAAGTTAATCTGGCTGTTGTACAGATCTAAAGGGCATCATATATAATCTGAAGCTTTGCTGCCATGAGGTGGGTCATGGACAAAGACAAGGTCTTTGTTAGGGACATAACCTGGAGCTGGACAGATACAATAAAAACACCCTGATGGGTTTTGGTCATAGTAATGAAAGGAAGCTGAGAACTAATATTCCTTGACTTAAAAACAACAGTGTTGTCCACTGCTGTGCATGCCAATGAGGAATCATGGGAGAGATATGTGGATGGTTCATCTCAAGATACACAGGCCCCCATTCTGACATGTTGGGGGACATACCTCCAACAGTGGGCCTCTTCTGCAGCTAACCTGTTGGCAGACAAACTGGCAATGGGACCCACGATGTACATTGCCCAAAGAATCTTTCCAGGAGAACAAATTCACAAAATCCCCTTCAATCTCTTCTACATTGGTGTAACTACTGTACCAGCTACCTTGATCTCTTTTGTCAAGTTACAGATCCAATGTATTGTTATTCTGCTTGGTTTCTGGTTCTGTCTCCTGTTAATTCTACTGTTTGTTAGCATTCTCTGGCTCACAACTTTGGCAGACTAAGAGCCTCACAAAAGGGCTGCCTTTGTCTTGTTATATAAACATAATTCTTGGGATACTTATCATTAGCTACCTGTACCTGAAGTAAAAGTGACTCTCCTATGGATTATATTAACATCTTAGGAGTGTATGGAAATTCAGGATAGTGGGAATTCCAGGTTCAAACTGAAGGTAAAATCCAAGACTACTCTTAATCAGACCATATAGGACCCCTCACACAGCCTAAAGCATATCTATATTTCAATACATGTCCAACTCGGGCTGATTTTCCAGACAGGGAAAACCACCATCATTCCTCAGGCTATGGAGGATTAAAATAAGAACAAGAGCACTGTCCAGAATGCCAGTGAAGAAGAACAACAACAACAACAACAAAAAACACCAAACATTGTAAGCCCCCTTTCTCATCTTTGTTCAGCCCTAAGTGGGTTTGTGTCATAGACTGGGATGGATCTAAAGATGAGTCTGTTAGCTCAGCTTCCCTCTAGTCCAACTGCTGGAAGGGAACCTGTAATCTCTTACAGTATACTATTCCAGAACCCTCCATTTGAGACTAATTGTCAGGCCGCCAGATAAAAATCCAGGCAGACAGATGGTGACAAGACCTGTGACTAATTTGAAAACACATAAAAAGGTCTGGATATTCTACACTCCCATTCTGCATTAAGACTCCTTCCCCAAGACCACTCCCTGGTGTTTTCACTGGCCCCTGCACCTGTTGCAAATCATACAAGGTCCAGACTACTACCTTCTAGTAGAAGGACCCCATTGGATCCTTCAAGCTCTAAACCCAGACTTATGCAAGGCCTGCTGGCTCTGTGTCCCTCTTTCAGTCCTTTCCTATCTAGTTTTAGGTCTCACTTGCAATTAATTCTGAACTTAATGCAACCAATGCTCCTGATCATCTGCTTCAGCCCCATCCAGGGGAAACACTGCTTCTTAGGTTCCAGTAAATGCCAGAATGCTTTTGCTGACTGTACAAGTATGTTGACAGTCACTTCTGGTTATCTGGCAGCCCCACTTGAAACCTTTATTTGTGCTGATGAGTTACATCAAGTGTTTGAGAGCACCAAAATAAGTATATATGCACTTGTTTTGCTGGTACCTGACTCTATGTTTTTCAGGATGAGGCCCTGCATACGCCCGCCCATCCGTCACGTCAAAAACTTGACCCAAGGATATTGCCCATACTAGCTGGAATAGCAGTATCACAGTCTGACACTCAGTGTAAGCCAATAGCAGTATTCAGTGAAGTGCTCAGATAGTTGGAGATTTTGCCAACATACAAACCTCATTAGACATGCTGCAGGATTAAATAAACTCCTTGGCTGCAGTCATCCTCCAGAATCAAAGAGCCTACATCTCCTGACAGCACAGTATGATGGTACCTGCCTTTTCCTAGAGGAGAAATGCTGTTGTTATAAGTCAGGAATACTAAGAACTCTCATCAGTTGCGGGAATGCCTCAAGCATAGGGTTCCAAATCTTATGGGAGGCTCTTCTTGGTGGCGATCTTTCAATTTTCTCCCCTCGTGGACAGGATCTATTCTCAAACCCTTAATGGCTGGTCTGGCAATTCTTCTAGCCCCCTTGAGTGATTTATAGCCTAACATGCTTCTTGTCTGAATACATGAAAGTTATGCATAATAAACTCCTTTTACAAGTTACTTACTAGCTCCATAGTACTGCACAGACCACAGAAACTGAGGCAGAAGATTCTCCTCAGTATCAAGAGAGGGAGAATGTAAGGGTACCACTATATATATACAAGGACATAATTATATAAATACTAAAAGTGCAGGTATAGAATAGCAAGCATATAGACATGTTTTAGGAAGTTAAAAATCAAATAGTAGCCTCTACCTATGTTCCTGCTGCCTATCACATAAACACCCTACTAAATTCAGTCAGCCTTGACTATCTGGGTCCAGCTGATTCTCTTCTGATAATGCATTGGGCCAATTTTACTATTCCAACTTGCTTCTAGGCATTTGATTGGAACAAAGTGACCCAGTCAAGAACACTTTTAATGTTGCTTGCTCCACTTAAACCCCCTCCCCTTATCCCCAGGATACTATGGTAAACAACTCAAGTAAATCTATTTAGAGTTAACTTGCCTGACAACATGTGACTTAAATTCCTGTAACCAATCACGTAATAACTTGCCATCTGCCTTGAACTTCCTGTTAGTAAACTATTTAAGCTGGACTCAAAGCTGGCAACTTCCTGGTGATTTGGACTCTGTCACAGTCTCCTAGCCCAATGGCATAAAACCAATAAAGCTGCCTTCTAAATTCCTTGATGCCAAGTTTTCTATTTGGTTTAATACTGGTTTTTCTGCAACACTACTACCGACTTGCCACTGGCTTACAATTTATACCAAATAATTTTTTTCTGCCTAGATTGTTTTCTCAACTACAAATTTAAGAGGGGGTCAAATGGGTTTTCATGCATTTCAACTGTAAAGCTCTCCAAAATTAAGAGAAATGAAAGAATATGATTAAAGCAAAGAGCACTAAACCGAGAGATGACCTAGACAAGAGCCCTGTTTCCAGCACTTCCTTAGACTAGTCAAACTCTCTAGATTTCAGTCTCACCTGAGTTATGTAAATATAAAAAAGCTAATGAAATGGCAACTGTTTTCCAACTGGACAACGCAGAATAGTAAAAAGTTCAGGCTTGAGAGTCAGACTTAGGTTTGAATTTAAACTCCTTCACTTATTTAATGGCCGCGTGACCCTGGTAAAATTATCTCCGAGCTTCCGTTTCTTCATTATGGGGGAAAATAGTAACTACTTCCTCAGGACCTCTCTGAAAATGAAATGCTCCTGTCAGATGGTGTTACCAAACATCAGCTACTCTTTTACAAAGTCCCTTGGCATTCCCTAAATTCCTAGCTAGTGAGACCAGTTCCGCCCTCACCTCGTGAGATTTGTTCAACGCCGTAAGTCCCGCCCCTAGCCGTAAGGTCAGGCCCGACTGTAATGGGACGAGTCAGCCGAGGGTATCCGGTCCCTGGCGCCCCTAGAAATCCTTGAATGAGCGCCTCTTGCACGTGGACCCGCGCGAACCTCCGGACACCTAGAGGCCACTCACCAGCTACAGCCTCAGTTACTAGGGAAGACTCGAGCCACAGCGGCGACGACGGCGGCGCGGGCGTCATGACGTCACGGGGCGGGGCGACGGCGCAGGCGTAGCGCATCACGGGCGGCCTGGCAGCTTGCGGAGTCGAGGCAGACACTTCTTGTCGTCCTTAGGGTTCGTTCGTCGGAACCTGCTTTAAGGGCATGAGCAGAGGGCAGCACGCCGAGGCCGCAAGGTGAGTCTGGCTGCGACGTGTCCCTGTCGCTAGCGCTAGCCCCGCGAGGAAGGTTTAACAGCGTCTGCGTTCGCTGGAAGGCTTTCAGGCCCCGCCCCGGATTGTCCTGCTTGTGGCCCGGAAATAACCGGAGTAATGATTCCTTGTCCCTGGGGATTTGCTGCCAGGAATTGGAAGCCAGGATTCAAGGCTTGACCCCATTATTCTCATTTAGGAACAAATGCCTTTGCTTCTCTGGGCAGTTTCCCTAATGAATTTTCCTGGCGTCTAGGATTGTAGTTTAGCAGGGAAGATAAGGTGTAAAAGCATTTTGTGAATTGTTAATATGAGGTCTCCATTGCAAACCCAAAGGACTTTGATATTCGCATGTTATTAATCTTTTATTAAGATTTATCATTCCTCAAAAAGCCCTTAGTACAAAACGATCTCATGAGGCGAGGTTAATTCTACCCATTCTACTAAGAGAGATGAAACCGAGGTTCCTAATGAAATGACTTCATTCATTCACTCATTGTAAATATTACCAGTCAATAAATATTACCCTTGAACCAGGCAGTGTAGTGATCTAGATTGTCAAAGGTCTGCCTTTTTGGAGCTCACATTCTAGTGAGGGAAACAAAAGTATTAAATAACTCATTAAATTATATAGGAAGGAAAAAGCAGCTGTGATAAAGAATAGCGAGGGCCTCTACTCTGGTAGGGAAACGATATGTTTGTGGGAAGGGGGTGTTACTTAAAGGACGTCGTGTGACTTGCTAATGTCTCATAGTAACTAAGTGCACATGTCAGGATTTGAATACCGGCTTCTTCACTTCCTGTTCTGCCGGTACCTTTTTGGGGAGTATTCATAGCTTTTGGTGTTACCGGTATTTTTACATATGAGAAAATCACAAGTTCATTTAAATCAACTCAAATGTCTTCCCTTTCAGTCTAAAATAGTTCACCTTCAAGTCACATCACCTTGCTTAATAGCGTTTGCAGCATTTATCACTAATTACATCTTGTTTATTCTTTTGTTTTGCCTTGCTCACCTTCAAATGTAAGCATTCTTGTTTGTGCATTGCTGTAACCCCAGTAATTAATTAGAAGGTGCCTGGAAAATCGAAAATCAGTGTTTTGTGTTTTTTGGGATTTTTTTGAGTGAATGATCTGTAGGAGTTAGCAATTTGTAGTTGCTTGACACACGTAACTAGAGTGGAAAAGGAAGAAAAATACACTATGTGCAAGGCACAGATAAATTTGTAAATTTGTTCCACAATTAACCCAGGGCTGCTGTGTGCTAGATTTGATGGTGTGTGCCGAGATGAATAGGCAGTGTTAATGTATGTCAGCTTTTGCTGAGACACAGTCTTTGAGGAGCTCTGAGATACTTCTGGATATGTAGGGCACATGTGTTCTAAAGTCTGGCACAGCCTGCCATCTTTCAATCCCATTATCTTTTTTTCTGTGTCACATTGTGCACTTACTAAAGTTTTAATTTTTTTTATCCATTGTCCCATTTTTGGTCTTCTCAGCAAACAACTTAGAAATAGAACAAAGTTTTAAAAGGAGAAAGCTGATACTCAGAGAAAAATGACTTCTAGTAGAAACGCTGCCATTGGGGGCTGGGTACATAGCTCAGTAGAACAGCACCTGCCTGGCAAGTGCAAGGTCATGAGTTTGATTCCCGGTACCAAAAAAATAAAGAAGAAGAAAGAAATGCTGCATTTGGAAAGTAGGTCTGATACCAAGCTTTCCATTTTTAGTTTGAAGACAAATCTCCTGCTAAATTGTTTAGTCTGGGCTCAAATTTCTAATCCCCTTTCCTCAGCTTCTCAGAGTGCTCAGATTATAGACATGTGCACCATGCCCAGCTTTTCTGTTCTTTCCACTACTATCTCTATCATAACCCTCATTTCCTTGGCTTTGAGACGAACAATTTCAGGAGCTGAGACTAGTAGTAATTTACCAGTCTTAAATGCTTCCTCAGTGCTGCGTGCTTTCTAAATGTTTTAGGAGTATTAATTCATTGAATCTGCAGAAATTTATGTGGTTTTAGCCCCATTTTACAGATAAGGAAACCAAGAAAATGGTAACTTGCCCAAGGTTGTATAACTAGCAAATGGTAGAACTGGGGTAATTCAGTAGAAATTAGTCTCTTGTTCCTAGTGTCCCCCAATATAGTAAACATAGCTAGTATACATTGATAACTTACTGTTTTTAGATACAGTGGTTAGTGATTTTTTTCATGTACTATCTTTAATTTTCATCCTATAAAATAGAACTGTTATCTTCATTTTACTAGTTGAGGAAACAGGCCTACGAATTAACAGTTCAGTTAATTCACTAAGTCACACAATTTGCTCTCAAGCCCAGCTTTAACTCTGAAAGTTGTTCATAGATTTTTCTGGTGGTAGGTTTGTGTGTATGTGTATGTTTTTGTTTTGTTGTTTTGTTTTTGTGGTGCTGCATATTGAAAGTGGGGCCTCTCCCAGGCTAGGCCAGCACTCTGCTGAACTACATTGTCAGCCCTGTGGATAGATTTCTGGGATTGTCACTTCTCTTTGCTGTGTTGCCTGTTCCATGAGGACAGGTGATATAAGGCCCCTCTTCCCTACCTATCCTTTTCAGTGCCAATAAGACTCTCCCCTTCCTGTTTTCCAGGGTTTATTTTGGGTGACAGTTGTTGAACTGAAGTGGTACATAGTAATAGAGACTTTGGCCTCTTTCCTAGTCAGCCTCTAGCTTCAGACAGGAAAAGTGTGTGTTTCTCCACATAGCTGTGCCTCTTTCACCTTAAATGGCAGTTTGTGTGCTCTGGACTGGCCAGAGGATACATAACCACCTGGGAAAATGTTTGTTGGGTTGAATTTGAGGTATCTTATTCACATAGGGTCGCTCTTCCCCTGTCTGAATGTGACATTGCCTTTAGTTTTTCGTAGAGATTGATGGAAGCAGAAACCAAAACTCTTCCCCTGGAAAACGCATCCATCCTTTCAGAGGGCTCTCTACAGGAAGGACACCGATTATGGATTGGCAACCTGGACCCCAAAATCACAGAGTAAGTCCAAGTCACCTTAATTTACTATCTACAAATTTGTAGTGTTTGCATGATATTTAAAAAAATGTTAAGGGATATAGAATAAATTCTGGTCCTATCTTTGAAGGGACCAATGTTACTAGCTTTTTATCTTGTCTCTTTTCTTACATCTGTACTTTTCTACTCTAAGCACCTAGTCTTAAGTATCCTTTAAAAAACACGTAACTTTTTTTCCCTACTTACCAAAGATGTTCTCTTATTCCCAACTGTTTGAATCCTTGTGCATAATGACTGCAAAAAACTTTTCTAGAATCAGTCTTGGATGTTTATATTTTCTCCTACAATGAAGGAACAAGCAGAAGTCTTAGTACCTTTGCAAGAAGGCAAAGGAGTACCACAGAACCATAGAGAAAATGTGATCTTAGATCTCTTGCCAGTCCCTTTGGTTTTCATTTTCATTAAATGATTTGAGTATCTAGTATGTACCAGGTGCCATGTTGACCAGTTTATATACATTTTAACCTGAGAAGTCTTGTCATAAAGTAAAAGTAATCAGAAGCAGCATATAAAAGTTCAAAGCTACTTTGGTCACAAGGAAGAGATGTGCCCAAAGCCTTTTGTCATCTGCCTCCCTTTCTTTGGCAGGCCCTGATGAGGCTACATAGGACTCACTTGAAAACCTCTGATGCATTCCAGCACTCTAATCCTGTAATACAGAAATCAAGGGCCTAAGAAGCACCTTGCCTAAGATCACCGAAGTAATCTAATTGTCCTGACTCCACTCGGTTCTTCACAGCCATTATTGTGGAAAGGAATTTCTTAACAGAGGATTTTGAGGGTTTTCTTCCATAGTTGTTTGGTAGGGGATAGGTGGTGCTTGGTAACAAGAGTGGTGAAGGGTGAATGAATTAACCTGCATGAAATAAATGTTTGCAGCAAGCATATCGTATGCCATCAGTCATAGGAGTTGCTTCCTTTGGAATACTGTCTTAGATGAGGGCAACACTGCTTACTTGAGATAAGAGGAAGTATATTTTAGGATTAGGAGAAATAATAAGTACATTAAAATTATAGATCAGAAGATTGACAGGAAATTTAGTTCCTTAAACTTGCTCAAACTCAGATCAGCTAAATATAGATGTTTGGATCCCTATAGAAATTACAATGTTGTTTAAGATATATTGCCCCCATATTATGTCACCCTGGTCACAGAAACCATGAACATACATTGCATTTATTTCTGTTTTCTTATCACTCGTGGCTTTGAAAATGGATGTGTGGATCTTCCTGACATCTCAGTTAGTGTCCATTCATCAGAGGAGCTTTTTCCATTATCTAAAACCCAAACTATGAGGAATGTGTCCAAGAGTAGTTTCCATTCCCACCTCTGCTTGGTGGAATGGAAAACTGAAGCATGGAAGCAGTGTTGCTGTATCGGCTGCAGTTCTCTGTAATGAGACTCTTGTGCTAATTGTGTCCTGCTGTTCATCAGGAAGGTTCAGATGGGCATATGTTTATCAGGAAGGCTCATGATGGTTCAGCTTTATGTCATAAGTTAGGATATGAATTTTTTGTTAGAGCTTTAGTGGAAAATAGAATCAAAACTTTCCACTAATACTGCTGATTTTTTTTACCTGAGGCCAAAGGGGGACATCAAGTGCCAAACTATAGATGAAGGCTTACTGGCCCAAAGTGCTTGCATTCACACACAGCATCGCCACTTCTGTATCACCAAAGGCCATTTGTAATACTTTTCTTCTGTGGATTCCTTACCTGAAAACAGTCTGTCTACCAAACAGATTTATTAAACACTAACTAATTTCTTTTTAAAGATGTAATTACTAGTCACAGCTTATGATTAACATTAAATGTTTAGTATTACTTTATTTAATTTACTTAATTATAGCAAATAAACCTAACATTTTAGAAAGGTACGTCTTGTGGAAGCATAATTTCCTTCCAGCTGTTGAAATATTTAAACTTTTGGATCTTGCTCTTAAGATAGATAATGGTGGGGCTGGGGATTTAGTTCAGTGGCATAAGCACCTGCCTTGCAAGTAGGCGGTCGTGAGTTCAATCCCCGGTACCAGTTATTAAAAAAAAAAAAAAGATAGATAATGGTGAGCCCTAATTATAATATAATCATTACCAAACATTGAAGCTGTAATTTAAGTAAACATAGGATTCTTGAATTGTGGTCCAGTCTTAGAAACTATTAGTTGAATCCAAATCTCTAAACTTCTAATGACCCTTGACAAAAGTTTATAGAGGATCCTTTCGTTTTCCTAGTTAACTTTTTTGTTTTTTTTTTTTTGTACCGAGGATCGAACTCACAACTGCGTGCTTGCAAGGCGGGCGCTTACGCCGCTGAGCTGAATCCCCAGCCCTTTCCTAGTTATGGTCATTAGTCTTTTCTCAATGGAATATGCATTCCTGTTTAGTACTCTAATATTATGCTTTTTGTTTATTTGTGTCCACTCTGGTTGCCATTCAGACCATTTTAGAGCTATGCTACATGCCCAAAATACTTATTTGACTAAGCAGCTCTTACATATATGGATCTGAAGGAGTGATGATAAACTCTGACTTAGAGAGGTAGAGGAATCCAAACCCATGTTCTTTCCACTATATTCTATTCCTCAATTACATTAGCCCTCATATTTCCTACCTATAAAATGAGAATGTTCAACTAAATAATATAAACAGTTCTTCTGACTCTTAGTATTATATGAAGTCCTCTTGTTTAAGTTCATAACAACTCTCAGAAATAAGTAGAACCGATATTTTATAGGAAGAGTTGAGTGGGTTGGCTCAATTTACTGAAGTAGGTACTGATAAGACTAATCTCCCACTATCTAATTTAGTGTACTTTGCACAAATATTCTAGTAGTCTGAGTAATTGAATAGTCATGACCTTAAGTATCCTATTTTAAATTTAAACAGATAAAAATTTATTTTAAATTGTTATGGGGCCAAATAGAACTATAGTTTAAGCAGTACCTCAAAATATCATTACCAGTGTCTGCAGCAAAAAAGCCAAAAAAGTTATATCCTCAGACAATGTTTTTCATGCTGTGATTTCCTTGAAAGGGTTAATGCTGGCTTTCATTTTCAAACATTGAATATGGTATATAGAAAGCCAAATTAATAGACACTGCATTATACATAAGAAAGAGAAATATAAGAACAAAGCTAGTAGAAATTCTAATAGAGCATTTTAAGTGGAGGTGAAATCATGAATAAAAGTGTGTAAGAATAAGCAAGATTCTTTTTTTATTTTAATGCAATACATGTAAAAACTGGATGCTACAAGAACCTACGTGTCATCCTTGCACAGGGGCCACACTAGTCTCCTCTGTATTGTTCCAGTTTTAGTATATGTGCTGCTGAAGCAAGCACAGAAAGATTCTTTTGTGTGAGCAGAATATTTGGAAGACTTTTTTGGCATGAGAGAGATTAACTGCTGAATGGTTGTAGAGTAGTAGATTTATAGAATACTATGGGGCTAAGATAGGTCTTTACAATTTATCTGGACAAGTTTGAATTTCATGTTGAAGAGATTTATTGTGGGTGTTTAACAAGAGAATGGCATCTTGAAAGTAATGTTTTAGTAGGGAAATCAGACCTCAAATATGTAAGATGAATTGGAAGGGTGGAGACTGAAGATGGTTAGGAGAGACTGCTGTAAGCCAGCCTGCTTGTCACCACCACCTAGGTAGAGGCAGTGAGCTTGGAGACCCACGAGTGAGTCTGACGCATGACTCACATGAATAAAGAGGAGTGGAGGGTTGAAGATGATCCTTGATTTTGTTTTATGGAGCTGGGGAATTGGAGCACCCGAGAGTTCTTACCTGAGGGATGTAGACAACTCACGTTCCCACTATACCCATGGGATAGCTGGAAGGGGCCTTCATTTTGTAGTTGGGGTTTATTAACAAACAAAAGCAGTGGCCAGCCAACCAGGTAAAAGTATCCTGAGGTAGATTTTTCAGAGATTAACTAGATAAACTAGAATGCAAGGGAAAATAAACACCCAGGTATATGAAAAAGGTGCGTTTACCCCTGAAGAAGCTGCTTTCTCAATCCATTCCTTACTGTTCCTTCATTATCTGCTTTTTATGTCTGTTTTCTTACTTAAATCTAACCTACAGTAAAACCATTAATAAGATACCTACCATGGGTTGTAAAGACCCTTCCCCAATAATTTTATGTGTTTATGAAGAAAATTTGTGTAGAACAAATTATGTTCTAAAAACAAACTTAACTGTCATTTCATTGGCTTCCCATTGTCTACGATATAAAATTAAAATTCCATAAGCATACAGTATTCTTCACACCCTCTTCCCTCCCTCTGTACCCCGACTCTGTCCCCGTGGGTCAGATGGTTTTTACCTTTATGTCTTTAGTCTTACACTGACATACTCTGCTCACCTGTCACCCATCTCACAAAGCTTTCCTTAGCACATTGAACTTCCTTCATCTTTGTGAATATATGCATATTCCTGTGTGCAAGTGTTGCACCATTTTATAGCTGATTGTATACTGCTTTCCTTCTGACCAGAATGTGATGCCTTTGGAGTAGTTTTATTTATTTGCTTAATTGTATGTGCCTAATTGGTTAGTAGCAGTAGTAGATATTATTAGTGTATATTAGTTACACAAATGGTTTCATTTTGGCAGATTTATATATGCACATAACACTCTTGGATCATTTTCATCCTTGATCCCCTTTTTTCCCTTCACCCTCCACCACCTGTTCCCTTCTTTTTCTCTAATAGTCCCTTTTTATTTTCCCCTACTTTTCTTTTTTTTAAAAATTTATTTATTTTCTTTTCCCCTACTTTTCTTGACACACAGTAAGTATCCGTTGTAACATTTATGTAGATGTATTGCTTCTGTGCCATTGGACAAGACAGCTGTTTTAAAGACTCATTACAGAAAACACTTATTAAGTTGCAAATATGTGTGTGGGGTTGATGTACTAGTTCTTTTCCTCCTAAACGCAGCAGGGCACACCTGTCATTAAGTGAAGGAAGCCTCTGATGAGTAGAGAGCTTGCCCAACTGCAGCAACAGATAAAACTGCTTGCAGATGTGAAAGCAAAACCTTTCAGGCTTTTTTCACTATCAGAGCTTGCAGTCACCATCTCCAGGAAGCAAAATAGTAAACATTTCATTCCTTTTGTTTCAGTATTGTGATAATTTCAAGAAGTTATCAAACAAGAAAAGAAAGCTTAGAGAAGTTGAAAGACACAGACCTAAGCAGATGTTCCTGCAATCTTAAGGTCACACTTCTTAGGCAGAATGTGTTTGTTAGCTTTACAATGAATAATCTGTTGGCATATTTGGAGGCCGGGGGTTTCTTAGTAAATTAAAATTCATTTCCTAGGAAATGCCAGTTGTGTTACCTTCCTGCTATTAAGCAGAATGGAGCTAATGAAAAGATGGCCAGCCCACAGTAATCCAAAAATTTTTTTTGTTTTTTTCGTTTTTTATCGGTACCAGGGATCGAACTCACGACTGCCTGCTGCAAGGCAGGCGCTTATGCCGCTGAGCTAAATCTCTAGCCCCCCAAATTTTTTTTTTTAATGAGTTTGTCCCACCATTCTAAAGCAAGTATCGTAGTGTTCAGGTTTCAATGGGTATAGTAAATGGAAGGTATGTACAGCTGTGAATTAAAAACCCCAGGGAAGCTTTGCTCGCCCATCTGTCTGTATCTAAGAGACTCACCCTTGCTATAAGCTGCCTATTCAGACAATCAAGTGAAAGCAGAAATTTGCACCTGAGGTGTCTCCATACCCTAAAGAATTACTGCCTACATTCTCACTGGCTGCTGAGGTTTCCTGATGAGAATTGGGAATTTAAGAAAGCAGGGATTGCAGTTGTTTTCCATTTTAAAACAGACCCAAAAACCAGATTGCTTTCCATCCACAATATGCCTGGGGATCCTTCCATCCTGCCCCAGCACTAGACCTGTATTATGTCTTCCTTCTACCCTGATGTCAAATATCTGATCCAGGATAATGGGCTTGCTTATTGATGTGTGTTAGTATCAAATTTACTATAGCTTATGATTTATTTCATATCTTTCTGCCTCCCAAAGGAGTTTCTTGTTCAAGAATAAAAGTTTGATGAGTTTCTCCTAGAAAACAATGTAAATATAAATGTGGCTCAAACGACAGCTTTACTGGCTCCCTGTGGGGTAGAATTCCCAGTAATAACAGATTTAGCATGTGGGCTGATACCTTTTTAGTATCACAGGGACAGCATTGTTTAGAGAAAACCTTGACTCCGTTTGAATAGCTTGGAGGATGCCAGGAGGAAGGCCAAAGGAAAAGGAAACGGGAGAGCTGTTGGTTTGTCTCACCCTTACATCAGATGACAGGAAGTTGGGATTGAGATTGGCCACAGCAACCTGTTAAGGCCACATCTGTTTGAATAACTTAAAAGCCCCATAGAAACCAAATAAGTTTTATAGTAAGCAATCCAAGAAAAGGATAGGGAGTAGAATGACAAGAAATAACTTATAATGGTGAACTATCCTGCCAGGAATAAATTTCATCCTTGAATATCTGTATTCTTTACTGGATCATACCCCTGGATATAAACTGTATTAATTCAACTGAGGCAAATACTTACTGAAGTGCTACTACCTATAATTTGGTTTTTGGCAGTTTCTTACAATTTGGGTCTAATGATTAATTACAATCTAATAGGAAACTCTTCCAGGACTATTTTCTTATTTGTGTGTGTTACTTTGTTTTGAGATAGGGTAGGCTTTGGTTTTTGGAGTGTGGGTGTGTATTTCTGATGGAGTTAGTATTCACAAATACTATCTTACTGCCAAGAAATTAAAAATAAATAAATCGACACTATTTTTGAGCTTTTCTCCAAAAGAAAAACAAATGATTCTTGTGGGCCAGACAGCTGTTTGTTAGGTGTGGTTTTTTTGTTTGGCATTTTTATGTTGGACAGACCCATAGGCATGACAATTCTAGTTCCCATTCCAAATAGAAGCAAACAACTCTTTTTGCCAAATAAACTTAACACTGCCATTTGGATGAAGGCAGCGGGCAAGGGCAATAGATTTAATCCCCAGGGTAAATCTCATGCTTTTATCTTGCAGTTGAGCCTGAGAGACAAACAAAATTTCTAGTGCATTCATGGCTCTTCTGTCTCCACAGATACCACCTCCTCAAGCTCCTTCAGAAGTTTGGGAAGGTGAAGCAGTTTGATTTCCTCTTCCACAAGTCAGGTGCTTTGGAAGGACAGCCTCGAGGTTACTGTTTCGTTAACTTTGAAACTAAGCAGGTAATTGAACCTCTTCCCCCTTTTATGGTACTGCCCCTACTCTGTCATGATTATTTGTGTATCTCGTGACTACTAGACCAAGAGCTCCTGTGGACAGGAGCCATGTCTGATTTTTCTCTGTGTGCCTTAAACCAAGTACTGAAAGAGATGCTCAGTGAACAAATGAATTAGTGATCAACTTGCAGAATCTTCTGTCTCTCTAAGCTCAAGGATCCACTTTACTGCTCAAATGATTTTTGGATGTCCACAGCAAGCATATGGACATCCCCCTACCCGTCCTGTTTTGTTTCTTTAGTGGCTGATGAGCAAAGCCTCCTTTTCTTTCAGTAGTTTTGTCCTGTGATACAGAAATCCTGTCTGTGGTGAGCCATCCACAAACTATTTTGATTTTTAAAAAATACACCCTTCTGGCTTGGGGATGTGGCTTTGTGAAAGTGTGCTTGTCTAGTACACACAAGACCAAGAGTTCAGTTCCCAACACCAAAAAAAAAAAAAAGAAAAGAAAAAAGAAAAGTGTCCTTCAATGGGTACAGATTTTAATATATGCACAAGAGTGTTCCACTTCAACCATAATATGTTTCTGATCTTGTATCAAACTTTAGTTATAGTTATTGAAGAAATACATTGAACCAGGGATGTAGCTCAGCTCTACAGCCTCTGCCTGGCAAGTTTGATGTCCTGGGTTCAATTTCCAGTAATAGAAGAAATACATTGATAGAGAAATGCAATTCAATGTTATTAAATATAGAGATGCTGCTTAGTACTCCATAACTTTGTCATTTGAAGGAACATTGCCTTGTTATTTTACTAATATTAGCATATGGATGTTTTTCTTATTATAAAAGTAATAATGCTCTTGTGAATGAAAATAATGATAACTAAAAAATTTTAAATCACTGAGCCCAATGCAGAAAAATAATTTTGAAATATTTTGTTGTATATTTTTTCAATCTCTTCACATTCTCTCACACATATAACATAGAAATAGTATATTATCATATTGATTGTTCAGAGCATATTAAAATTTTTCTGTCTAGTGCACATCGAGATAACACAGTAAACTGTGATACTGTGATTTTTGTTGGTGTGTGTTGTGTACATACGTATGGGTGTATGTGTGCAGAAGAACATTGATCTATATCTGAGTTTAGTGCATTTTTTATATGTGATTTAGAGTAGTTGAAAACTGATCAGTGTTTTTGATAACTGAATGATTGAATTACCTTCAATGATTTTTTTTTAATTACCTTCAATGATTGACAAGTGTCGTGAATATCTTTCTATATGTATTACTTACTACATTTCTGGAAGTGGGTAGTATTCTCAAAGACCATGCACATTTTTTCTTAAAATAGTTTCTAAAATGCCTTCAAGAAATTATGTCACTAGTGCTGGGGATTTAGCTCAGTGGCATAAGCGCCTGCCTTGCAAGCAGGTGGTTGTGAGTTCAATCCCGGTACTGATTTTTTTTTTTTTTTTTTTTTTTTTTTTTTTAACGGTACCAGGGATCGAACTCACGACCACGTGCTACAAGGCAGGCACCCCGGTACTGATTTAAAAAAAAAAAATTATCCCCTGCTGGCATCATGTTACTGCTGATACTTCAGAACCAATAGAGTACCATCATGTAAGTTCCAATTCACCAAGTAAAATGTGAGGGTTGGAGTTATAATTCAGTGGCAAGTGCAAGGTCCTGAGTTCGATTCCTAGTACAAAACAACCAGTGAAATGTAAAAGAAAAAGCACGTGTCTCTCATCTAGCACTTCTAGTAGTGAAGCAGAGAAGGCCAGTGAATAATCCAATGCCTGACACACTGTGGGTATTGAATAAATATTGTCAAATGCCATGATGGTGAACTCCAGCAAGCCAGAGGATCACACAGTAAAACTAGGCTGGAAGGCTTTTTTGTATTACACCTTAATCTCAGACAGACTCTCTGCCCTGCAAGACTTCCTATTTCTCTTCTGTTCCTTAAGGGCTTCTTTATCCCCATTAAACAACAGGTTGCAGTACTTGGCTAAATGCCTCTTGGATGCAAACAAGACAAAGAAGCTTTGTCAGGATGGGAAAGTACAGCCAGATTTCCTGGGAGTGACCCAAAGTAACTGTTTTCTAGCTTCAGGAATTCCTTTCAACCTTATTACAGCTGTATCTAATGGGGAAAGGGTCAGGAATCTTGTGGCTCTGACAACCAGGTACACAGAGTGACTTACAGACACCTTGCTCACAGGTTCTCTGACTCACTCTCCTACTTTTTTACCCTAGTTTCCTTCACTCCTCTATCTATCCTTTGGACCCAGGGAGGAGTACCCACTAGTCCAGGACACAGTTCTAGGGTCCTTGGGGGAGTATAATTTCTTGAGATAATAAGTGCTACCCCAACTAATGGGATGTGTAGCAAAACTTCACCTCATTAGAACACAACTGTTAGCTAAAATCTATTAAGTGCTCCATGCTTTACATGAGCTCTGAATCCTTACAACCACTAAAGAATAAGTAGTAATGTCCATATTTACACGTAACACAACTGGAGACCTTAAGTAACCTACCACATGTCTTACTGCTAACAAGTGACAGCCAGAATGCAAATTTTTATCTGAGTGGCTTCTTTTTTTATTTTTAACTTAATTTTAAAGGGAATAAAACAGAACAATAAAACAAATCAAAACAGTGATAAGACAGTGGGAAATTTATAGTACTTACTATCGTGCATGTTGTTGTCCCCTCAGACTGGAAATGGTTGCTCAGACTACCAGCTTTAGGTTTTGTTTTTTTTGTTTTTTGTTTTTTTTTTTTTTTTTCATTTTCTTTTTTGTCTTTTTCGTTTTAATCGGTACCCGGGATCAAACTCATGACTGCCTGCTTGCAAGGCAGGAGCTTATGCCGCTGAGCTAAATCCCCAGCCCCCTAGGTTTGCAAAGTCATCTAACATTACAGTTCCTCCGAATCAGCTGGTTGCTGGGAGTGGGGCTGTTCTCTCCCCAGCCTGCACGCAGGCTGGCTCACAGGTGGGGGCTTAGTTTTCTTCCTGCTTCACCTTGGTCTGTGCTCTGACTCCTGAATGACTTATTAAAATTCAAACCTTTTTTTTGTTATTCTGCTTTTTAAAATTATAAACTCTTTGCCAACTACTTGCTAAAAGCTATTGAGAGACTAAGCCATCAAAGCTGGTAAGGCCCTGTGAGAATAAAAATAGCTACTTAAGCATTTGAATTTTTGACTATCGTTCCTCTCGTGGACAGGAAGCAGAGCAAGCCATCCAGTGTCTCAATGGCAAACTGGCACTGTCTAAGAAGCTGGTGGTACGATGGGCCCATGCCCAAATAAAGGTATGTCTCAGAGGCCGGAAGCCTGCCTCCTGCCTTATCCTACATGAATCTCTGAAAAGCAGTTGCTCATTTCTCCATTTGCATCCCAGCCTCTTCACATCTGGAATTGCCATGCTTTGGTCTCCTACTTGTATTTACCATCTGTGTTGCCAGATTTTTCTTTTGAGAAGCATCTCAGGAGGGATTAAGTTCCTTCGTTGTTTCTCCCCACATGCCTACAGATCCTGTTTTTGATTGATTTTTCCATGTGGCTGATGTGTATATTCAGACCTCTACCTTTTTTTTTTTTTTGGTGGGTAGTGTTTTTTGGAGGAAAAAATGTAGTATTTATTTTTAAGATTAGTTGCCATAGGCATTATTAGACTCTTCCCAGCCTCTCAACTCTGTGGAGAGTTTGAGTTTGTTTATTATTATAAGTGCTTGAGAAATGGGTAGTTTGTGTGAGTGCTTATAGCATTGGCATCTCCCCAGTCCAGAGATCTTGAGAGTTATTAGAGTGTGGGTTTATGGGACCTTGTGTTGCCTTTGTCTCCAAACCCTGAGCAGGGCAAAATGCCCTGCTCACCCAGTAATTGCTCTGGTGGGGGAATGCACTAATAAAACTGCAACCACTGAAGAGAAAAAGATACTCTGTTTCGACTGGCACAGAGGTGTTGAAGAATGTGGGCTGGAGCGATCCCAAGAGCAGACTGTCTTCCTTCTGCAGTGGGTCTCTCCAAACCTGCCTGCAGAAAGATTTGTGACAAAGTTAGAACTTCAGCTTTTAACTGGACGAGTGTGGTTTTTAATCAGAGACACTCTACCCGCTGAGAATAAGCTTCCCAGTAAAGGGTCACAGAAACTAAACAGACATTTAAGTCCAGTGTCCATGCTCTGAATCCTTCTGAACATTTCAGGTGATCACAGAGCCTTCTCAATGTCTAGGACACATTGCCCTAAAAATAGAAACAACAAGGAGAATTACCAAATGCTTTTTACTCAAAAAAAAAAAAAAAAATCAAGTCTCATTGCCAAACCGACTGTCATTTTCTTGTTCTGTATCACTGAAAAGGCATGCAAGAGAAAGCATCCTTAAGTCATCCCTCATTTGAAAATCTTTACCTTGGGGTTCTCTTTGTAAATCTTTATTGACTGAAGGCTCTGATTTACTCTTTAATAATACATTTACTTTTTAATAGAGGTATGTGATTATCTGACATCAAATTAAACTCTCATACGGTGTAATATGTTCTATATCAGCAACTGAAAGCTGTTACTACTTTTCTTTTCCACCCAGTTCTGTTAAGAGTTGAACATTACACTTAGTGCTCTGAAAAATCTAGCAAAGTTTTAAAGTGTTTTAAATAAAGCAAATACTATAAGATTCAATATGTGACAGACTATAAGAGGGTAACCCTGCTGTGTATTTGTGCCATCTGTGAATTTGAGTGTTGGAATTCTTGCCCTGTCAACCAAGAGCAACTTTAGTGGATGCTTTTTATTGACTCTCCCTGAACTTAAAACTTTTAGAGCAAAACTGTAGAGTTTCATAATAATTTTACATGTATGGCATCCTAAAATTGTCTAGAAATATATTGATGATAAACTGGATGGGTTTAGTTTCTGAATCTATGCACTGCAAAAAAAAAGGCAGTTTCTAACCAAGTAAATCCCCCCCCCTTTGTTTTCTAGAGGTATGATCATAATAAGAATGATAAGATTCTTCCTATCAGTCTCGAGCCATCTTCAAGCACTGAACCCACACAGTCTAACCTAAGGTAAGCTATTGTAATGTAGGACAGTTATTCAAGAACCTGGGCTATTTCCATTCCACCCCTTCATTTAGTCAATCTCTTAATAATGATTCTTAATTTAGAATAGTACTAATTTGACATATTGAGAGATGTGTTCAGTTAACCTCCAGAATGTAAACATTTCTCCTTACATACCCTCAAGAGCATGTAACAACTCCCACACACACACCATTTATAGAATCCATTCACTTAGAAAAGGGTGGGCTTCATTACCACACACCAAGCCTTATGCTAGGACTGGGGATACAAAGATAAATCAGACACAGCCCTTACCCTGAAAAGTGTTTTAATATGTCCTTGTGTCCCTTTGGCATTTGTCGCTGTATACTTGATCCTTTCCAACTATGAGTTCTCTTACACAAAGTTTTTGTTTGTAGTCTTTTAATTTTGTGTACCATTGCAGCAACTCTAATAGTTTTGACTCTATCTTGTACAAATTGTCCATTACCTCTTTAGAGTTAATTCAAAACAGGGGCCCCAAGGGTTGGGTAGAGAAGGGGGAAGTTAAGTGGGCAGCCGAGCAGAAAGAAGAGGGAGGAGATTTTTGTTTGAGTCTTTTGTTGTTCTTATTGTTTCAGTTTTGTTTTTGTAACTTCAAATCAAGTTGTTTTGGTTTCCCCCCCCCCCCCAAATTTTAACAGTAATAGTAGCCATAAAGTTGAGCATGGTGGTGCATACCTATAATTTCCATACTCGAGAGGCTGAGGCAGGACGATTGTTGTAAATTCAAGTCCAGCCTGGGCTACAAAGTGAGTTCAAAGCCAACTTTGAACTGTGTAGTAAAACTCTGTCTTGAAAAAAAACCAACAGGGGAAAAAAAAAGAGCCAGTTTGTCAAGCTTATTATGAAGTACTCTACTAAACACTTTATATGCAGTGTACTTATCATTTACTTATCATAAGCGTTATTTTACATATGAGAGAACCAAAGCTTAGGTGAACTATCTTGGTCAAAATTGTGCAGACACCAAATAGCAGGGTGAGAATTCAAAACCAGGTCTAATGGACTTTGAAATTCAGTCCTTAGCTACTACTTCAAAGTTACTGTAAGCTGTAAATGTAGGAATATGGTTTCAAAACCTAGCCCAGAAGAAGGAAGATATATAAGGAACCATCAGTGATACATAAAGATTAGAAATAATAGTCATAAAACCAAGAAAGTGATGCCTATTTGAACTGAGGGCCAGACAAGAGGAAAAATGCCTTTCTTGGATATTATCTGCACCACATAAAACAGATTTTAAAAAGTATTACTTAACTAGTGAGAAATATTTTCAGAATTAGTAAATTTATACATTGAAGTTAATTTTACAGTTAATTTACTGTCACGATACTAATTTTATGTTGCCTTTATTGTTTTGTGTTCCTGGAAATAGAAAAAAAAATTGTCTCTTACATTCATTAAGAGTGTATCTAGTGTGCTATTTTCCCCATAAGATTTGATCCTCTGTGATCACAGATTGATTTCTGGAGGTTTTTATAAATTTAATTGCATGGATAAGGATGACCGGGTCTTTATTTTGTTTTGTTTTGTCTTGTTTGTTTGTTTTGAGATAGGGACTCACTATTTCCCTCAAATGCATAGCTGTCCTCCTGCATCAGCCTCCCAAGTGCATGCTCCATCACACCTGGCAGATGAGTGGGTTTATGCTTGATGGTTTCCATACTACAATAAACATATATTTAATTTATTGTGACAAGTATTTGTCACTTGTTTACCAAGTAGCCTGATATTTTCTCATCTCTTTCTTAATCCAGATAATCTCAGCTTACATCTTTGTATTCACACCTATGCCTAATTAGAGAAGGTTGGGAGGGCTGTCTTGTCTTGTAAATAAAAGAGGTGCCAAAATGTATCCTGGTAATACCTCAGTATTCTTTTTATTATAACTTAGGAGTTTTAAAAATGTTTAATGACATGAAAATTACACATATTTTTGAGGTGTTGTGTGATGTTTCAGCAAATGTATATGTCATGTGATACTGAAATTAGAGTAAATGTATCTTTCTCCTCAAACATTTAATCATCTCTTTATGGTGACTTAACGATTAATTTCTTGCCATGAAAATTTGTGGCTATGTGGAGCAGATGTATAGCTTTCAAGAATCCCTAGAAGATGATCATATATATACTTTCAAGTTTTTCTCACTGCCCATAGACTATTATCTGCATCAAAATTGGAAAGTAAAAGTATCTGGGCCAAAAAATTCCCACTGCTTGAGTGCATTCTAATTCAGGGATAGCAGTGATCCCACTCAGAGACAAATTCCCCCTAATTTCCACAGCATCTCCTCATGCTTTCTGTGTAATTCAGCCTATTCAGCTCCCATTCTGATAGAAAAAAACACAGGCTTTGACAGTAAACAAACTGGAATGGAACCCTAGCTCTGCAGTTAGTTAGCTGTGTGACCTGGAGCGTATCACTGCCTCTGCATTTGTTTCTTCACCATGAAATGTGGGATGGTAATCTTTGTAGGGTTACTACAAGGAAGCAGGCAAATATCAGTAAAATGCTGATTACTGTACCTGGCTCATTGTAAGTAGCACACATTTGTCAATAAAAGATGGCTGTATAGGATGTCTAGAATGTCTTTGTTATTATTCAGTAACTTAAATGGTAGTATAGTGAATGGTTAATAATAGCATGGGCTTCAGAGTCAATTTGTATTCAAACCTCAGCTTTATCACTGACCAGCAGTTTAATATTGGGCAAGTTAACCTTTCTGTGCCTCAGTTTCTTTATCTGCAAAGTAAGAAATGTACAAGTGAATGTTTAAATTTTTTTAAAATTTAGTACAGTAAAAGACATTGCTGAGAGTGATAGAATAATTGTGTTTGAAGCAAAGGGGGGTATTTGAGAGTTAATGGCAATGTGTTTTCTTGTAATTTTTTATTTAAACATTTATATTTATAGTCACCCTTTGTTGATCAAATGTTTATAGCAATTTATATCAAATAAAAATAATGTCGTATGTCCTCATCCACTTTATTTGCTAGGTCTAGTACTTCACAGTGCAACTTCCAGCTCTTCCCCAAAGTCAAAATGACCGTGAAAGGTAAACATTTTGAATCAATTCAGGACATTGAGGCAGCTATGACAGTATAACTAAAGACACCCAAGAAAGAGAAATTTCAGAACTGCAAGAATAATAGAATGCCTGAAGTGATCTAAGAGTATTTTGAGGGAGATTAATGGCAGTGTGTCTTTTACTGTAATACATTTTTAAAATTTGAACATTCACCATATTTTTGAGTTACCCCATGTAATGTACTCTATGCTGTCATTTTTAGTCCTGTCTTTGAATGCTTAGGTGCTGAATAGTATGTGTGTCTGCTTAGATACAATGATACGTGTAGAACTTCTAACAGTGCTGAGGCTTATCTGAAAAACTTCATAGGTAGTTTAGACTTTATCTCTTTCTTAAAAAGAGAGTATTTTTTGGTCTCTTACATGAAACGTTTATGTCTTTGTTATTCAATGTTTTGTTGCTTCTCTAATGTGTAAGAGGCACAAGAAGATAAAATATCCTGTATTTTCCAAATGCACCTGGATTCATTTTGATCCTCTGCTGTCCTTTTTCCAGTGTCACTGCAAAGATAAAAGCCATTGAAGCAAAGCTGAAAATGATGGCAGAAAATCCTGATGCAGAATACCCAGCAGCACCTGTTTACTCCTACTTTAAACCACCAGACAAAAAAAGGACTAACCCTTATTCTAGAACAGCGTGGAAATCTCGAAGATGATGATTGTGAATTACTGTAACAGCAAAAACAAATTGCTCTCTACACCTGACCTCTTCTGCCTTTGTATTTTGTAGATGTGAGTGGTACTACCCGACAGAGCACAATCACATGTTAGTTTGGTAACATAATGTTTTTGGATGTTCTTACGAATGTGTCTTCTCTGAACTATGTGTGGAATTGAACAGCATCCAGAATAAATAGAATTGTGTCCAAAATTGTGATTTGAACACTGAGTTGCTCTAGTTGGCTGGTCTGTTTGAATTTGTAACTCCAAAAACTTTATATAATGTGCCAGAGAGAAAGGCAAATGTACAAAGTGTTATTATTTAAATGGGAAAGTAAATTGATTGACGTCGATTTTTTAAAAAATACAGCATTTTTCTTGCACATGTCTTTTACAACATAAAGAAAAAGACAGAAGTGAAAGGCAGATTTTTAACTGTGTTTAGAACTGCAGTTGGAGAATTTATGATGGAACTCCCTCCAACTGGACTAAAAAATAGAGTTTTTGGCAAAAGAGAGCTGATCCTTTGAGCAAATGTAGTAATCTGCTTAAGAATTATGCTTATTGTTTCAAAACCCCAATTAGGAAAACATGGTGTATATCTTAAATTTGTTTGTGTTGACAAACTGTAGAATCAATATACCATAACAGAAGTTCTGTTTGACAATTTAACTTTTATTCTATAGTGGTCATTTTTTAAAAATCTAGATAATCTTGCCTTCTATAATAACCAAACGTTGTTACTAACACAAGACTTTTAAAATTGTACTTACTGCATGGGCTTGTTTTTATAGCATGAGATTGTTCTATTTGGAATTCTATAAACAATCTAAAAAATAGCAAAATTTCCTTGAAAACTTAAATATTGCTACACTGATCACTATCCAACTTATTTACTTTATAGTAATCATGTGGGGATTTGGTAGAAGTTGAATGATTTTGTGCAGAATGAGAAGAGGATATGTACCAGGCACAGAAAGTCAGGTACTACTCTGGCACCTCATGCTTTCCGTAGTTCAGTGGTGGCAAACCTTTTACAGTGTTCAATGATAAAAACAGCTGGGAGTGGCACATGTGCCATAGGTTCGCCACTGCTGATGTAGTTTTAAAACTCTGCATGCCTTGCAAAAATGATCTCCCATTCATAGGACATTCTTCTCCCTACATATTTTTGGCACTATGAACATTCTAAATACAACAGTGGAGAGTAGTACATAAGCTGACAGATTTGGGCGAGTGTTTCTTCCACATAGTATGGGTCATTTTGGTGCCAAGCTTTGACAGACTGTTTCACTGGGCAGCATCACTGCTGCTTTAGTAGGTAGATCACTTTGTTATTTATTCCAGGTGCCACTCAGGTGGTTAGACAGTATTTATTACTATCATTTCTAGCAAGAGGAAGCTTTTATCATAGGTATTTAAGTCTTCCGGCAAGTATAAATGTAGTTAAAACACTTGAATCAAAACTTAAGCATAGGGGCTGGGGATTTAGGTCAGTGGTGTAGCACCTACTTGTCAAACGTGAGGTCCTAAGTTCAGTTCCCAGTACCCAAAAAATAAAAACTTTAGCATAGTGAGGTTTTAGAATCCACAGGACTGGTTCCGAGACATTCTTACCACTTTTCCCAAGGTCAGTCTTTAGCTATCCAAATACTCTCTGCTTTTACTAGCTGTGTCTACAATGCAAGTAACTCTCCTCCCATTTGTGAGATAGTTCAGGGAGGTGGGAGTTTGTCTCCCATTTTTCTGGTGACTTTTTGGAGTGTAGAATTCACCATTTTATACTTAAGTCCTCAAAGGATTGTGGTGGAATAGAACTTAATGCAAATAGCCTTCTATTTTTAATAGGAACTTAGGAAGCACTTAGGACTATATTATAGTGTTGTTTTCTTTAGAAACTATAACTATTTATTTGTATTTAAAGCAATGTTTTTTTATTTGTACCAATTCTTATCCCTTCTTATGAATAAATGCAAGACAGTATGTGTGTGTGGTTGTATCTTCTCTTCTATTTATTGGAATAAAGACTGCAGCTTTCTGGAGCGTGTTTCTCTAAGGTCTTAGGCTGGTGGGGCCAGGCCGGACATTGCCTCCAAGTGAGTTCTTTGCAGTGGAATCAGACTATACAGTCTTCACCCTTAAGAAAGGAAAGAGTGAAGATTGAGAGAGGTACGAGCTGTCTTAATCCTAGCTCCTGGTTTACCAAATGTAAAATGTAACCCTAAGCGTATGGAATTCTGCAGTTGGCATTTCAGCTTTAGAGAATAGGATCACATAAAAATAGATTTCTTGGGGCTGGGGCAACAGCATAGCACAACAGCTTAGCTCAACAGCATAAGCACCTGCCTTGCAAGCAGGCAGTCCTGAGTTCGATCCCCGGTACCGATAAAAGTTTAAAAAAAAAAAATAGATTTCTTAAATGTCATAAATCAGCCCCAGGTTTATGAAGCTAAGTTTTCTACAACCTTGTCCCTTGTTTAAGATAATGCGACAATCTCAAAGTCAGTAAATACATCTAATTTTTATACTACTGCATAAAAAGTATCAATTCTTGTCTTATAAGTTAAGTCCTAAACATTTGCTGTGTGTAGCCACTGTATTCCTAAAATCTGATTTGATTCCAATAATACACCCTTAACTTTGTTTTCTGCTCCTGTCCAGCCCTGAACAAGTACTGTCAATTTTACCTTCAGATTACATCTTAAGTCCAACTACTCTCCACATCCAACACTTAGTTTTGTTCAAGCCACCATCATCTTTTACCTGGACTGTTACAAAACCTTAATTATCTGTCTGTCTCTACTATTTCCACCTTATAGTCAATTTTGCACACAGAAGCTAGAGCAATTCTTTTAAAATGTCATGGTGCATGTCTGGTTGCAGCTACTCCGGGAGCTAAAGGAGGAAAATCCTCTAAGCCCAGAATTTTGTGATCAGCCTGGGCAACATAGCAAGATCTCATTTAAAAAAAAAAAAATTGGGTTATGTTAGCACACAATTCCAGCTGTTGGGAAGGCTGTGGCAAAAGGATCAAAAGTGGTGACCAGCCATAAAGAGTCTGTCTCAAAATAAGGCCCTGGATATAGCTTAGCACTTCTGGATTCAATCCCGGTACCAAACAAAAAAATCTTTAAATGCCACTTTCTTAATGGCTTTCCATTACACCTATAATTAAGCTCGAAGACCTACAAGGCCCTTAGCACCCATCTGATGCCATAGCCCTCTCCTTGTGCACTGCGCTGCAGCCACACTGGCCTTCCTGTTCCTTTCAAGGGTTTCACCTTCCCAGAATGCTTTAATTCACATTTCTATTCAAACATCAGTGATTCTAAGATGTCCCTGCCCTCCGTTTTAAACTATGATTTTGTCACTTCACAATACTTGCCTCCTGGGGTTCTAAATAGAATGTATCACTACTCAACATTATATATAAGCTAATTTTGTCTCCTTTCATAAGAACATAAATTGAATATAAGTGGTAACTATATCTTTGCTGTATCACCAGAATTTAAAGCACTGCCTGGTGTACAATACTCCATAAATACTTGCTGGATGAAATAGCAGAATGCAGCCAGGCGTGGTGGCTCACGCCTGAAATCCCAGCACTCGGAAGGCTGAGGCAGGAGGATCATTGTGAATTCGAGACCAGCCTGGGCTATAAAGTGAGCCCAACGCCAGCCTGAACTGCACAGTGAGACCCTGTCTCAAAAAGGCAAAAAAAAAAGAAAAGTCAGAATCCTAGTGTTTGGGAGTTCAAGGGTCTTGTGAGATCAACCTACATAGCCCATCATTGTGCAGATAGAAAAAATGGAAACCCAGAGAGGCAAAACGGTTTGGCCAGGACAATGTGGTTAATGGGTGCTGTGGTTTGGGTGCTTCCCTCATGTGTTGAAATCTAATCCCCGTTGTGAAGTATTAAGAGGATGAGGATAGAAACCTAACCACTGTGATGTTTATAGGTAAGACCTTTAGAAGGGGATTAAGGATAGATAAAAATCATCATTGTGGAATCCCCATGATTTATACTGATGGATTTGTAGAAGAGGAAGAGAGACCAGAGAACACACACACACACACACACACACACACACACACACACACACACCTGATTAATACCTGTTCATGGCTGTGTAATGTCTCAGATCTCTGACAGCAAGGAGGCTATCACTTTGTGCAGCCCCTCAACTTTGGATGAGCCTCCAACACTATGAGCCACAATAAACCTTTTTTTAAAAATAAATATCCTTCAGGCATGTTGTTATAGTATCAAAAACTAACATAATGAAAGAAGTTTAGATAAAAACCCCCTACAAACACCTATGCGGTATACATTGCTTTGGCAGACTGACCTGTGCTGTCTCTTTTTGTACAGTCTACAAGCAAGAAAGGCTTTTTACATTTGTAAGTGATCGCAGAAAAAAGTCAAAAGAATACTATTTTGTGACATATGAAAGTAATATGAAATTCAAATTTCAGGGTCCATAAATTAGGAAGTTTTATTAGAACACAGGCCCATGCATGTACAAATCTAAAATTATTTCCTCAGTGTAATGACATATTTGAGTAGTTACATAAAATATAGTGCACGAAGCCTAAAATGCATACTGTCTCTTCACAAAATTTGACAAGCTCTGCTCTGAAGTTTTCCATTACTGGAAACATCATTTTGAATCTCTGTGGTACTAAAAGATTCTAGTATTACTGCAGAAAATGAAAGCAGTAAAAAGGTGGCAAAATGATACATGAGCACGGTTTCTTATTCATGTCTCTGTCCCTTTATACATCTTTTGGGATAGGAAATTGGCTCTCCCAACCTAGCTTCACTACTGTAGTAAGTTGTAAATCCCTTCATTGTCTGTTGTGATTTGAACCAAAAATGTCCCCCAAAACTTTTATGTGTTCAGAAGTAGAGCTTTTGGAAGGTGACTAGATCATGAGCATGCTTAACTCGGGTGAGTTAATCTATTGATGAATTAATAGTTGAGGGGGCTGTTAAGAGTGGGGCCCAGCTGGAAGAAGCAGGCCCTTGAGGGTGTACCTGGAAGGGTACCCCTTGCCCTGGCTCTTCCCCTGTCTTTCTGTCTCTGTTGCCCTGTTGCCAAGACACACTGCCTTGCCGCAGACCCAGAAACCATGGAGCCAGCAGAAGACTATAGGCTGAAACCGTAAACTAAAATAAATCTTTCCTCTCTTAAATTGTTTTTCACAGGCATTTTGTCACAATCACGGGGACCTGATTAACATACTGTTCATGCAAGGAATCCAGACTCGTAAGAACTTTGGCATCTGATAGGCCCAAATTAGACTTCTCGCCCCAGTGTGTGAGCAATCAGTCAGGGTTCTTTCAGTGCATGTCCAACTGCCTTATGGCAGAAATTTTACTGGCTCTTGTAACTGAAAAGTCCAGGTGTTTCAATGACATGGCCAGGGTTCTCTCTCTTGATTGTGTTTTCCCCTGGGTTGCTTTCATTCTCAGAAAGGCTCTCCTTAGTAGTCTCTGGGGAAAGATTTGAATCCCAGATTTAAATTTTAAAAAGGGGGGGGGGGGCTGGGGATTTAGCTCAGCGGCATAAGCGCCTGTCTTGCAAGCAGGTAGTCGTGAGTTCGATCCCTGGTACCGATAAAAACGAAAAAGACCAAAAAAAAAAAAAAAAAAAAAAAAAAAAACAACCAAGAATCTGCCCCAGGACATGGCTCTGTATCTTCTTTCCTCTGCATTCAGTCTTTGGCTAGGATTACTGATTATACAGAATGGCATTTTATTTTGAATGTGCCCTGTGACCTTCCCAAGCTAAAAAATAATTTAAAATTTAGCCTTCCTATCCTGAAAACTAACCTCTCTCATTTGAGTTTTCTTGTGGGTGATCTCATAGGAAGGAAATGTATCCATCCTTCAGACATAGTATGGGCATCTGCCATGTGCCAGACTTGAAAGGTGTAAAGATCAAGCACAGTCACCACACACTGGCACCTGCTATGATAAAGGGAAGACTCAGGAACTATGAGGGACCACAGGGCAGGCATCTAATCCAGCTGGCCACAGCAGGTGAGGGCATAGATGATTTCCCGAAGGAAGTGACATCTGCAGTGAGCACTGAAAGGTATTAAAACATAAGCCAGGTCCAGGATTTAAGAAGAGCAAAGGAGGAAGAACACAAGAACCCTAAGGTAAGAGCCCTGAAGGTTTAATTATAAGAGGAATTGCAACGTTCCTGAAACCTATACCACAGGGTAAGCCAGGTTTATAAGGCATTCTACGATATGCATTTTCCTAAGCAGAATAACGGGTTGAATACAAGAGTATCTCCAAAAACCTCATCTTTGTACAAGATGTTCCTTCTACATAGAAATCCTTTTCTCCCTACTCCACCCAGCCATTCCTTTCACGGATACCTTCCTATTTATCCTCAAGGATTAACTCAAAACAGTTACTGCCTCTCTGCTCCTTGAATATCCAGTTCTGTTTCAGCATTTGTCACTATACAATCCCCTTATTTAAAAAATGATTCTGGGGGCTGGGGATTTAGCTCAGCGGCATAAGCGCCTGCCTTGCAAGCAGGCAGTTGTGAGTTCAATCCCTGGTACGGATAAAAAGGAAAAAGACCAAAAAAAAAAAAAAAAAAAGATTCTGACTGGAAATAAGATGAGCCTCAAGGGCAAGTTGCCTCCCAGAACACAAACAAGTCAACTGTGATCCCTCTCCCAGATGATATAAATCTTTTTTTAAATCCATTTTATTTCAAAGAGAAAAAAAAGTCAAAACACGTCAATCAGGGGGCAACAATGGTACATACATTACGCATTGTCATCCCCAAATCATTCACCCAGAGCACAGGACATCTGCATTCGGTTGTCTGAACAATAACAGCACAAATCTTTCCCTTCAGTGAACTCAGAAAAATCAGTAGTATAACTATCTTAACTATTTTTATACACATATATACATAAACATATACATATGTGCTTCAGTTTCTCACACTAGTGAGACAATACAATGTTTATACATATGAGTTTGATTTATTTCACCTATGATTATGGTCTCAACTTGCAATCATTTACCTATAATAATCTCTAGTTTATCCTTCTTTACGGCTGAGTAGTACTTTGTCGGATAAGAATATCACATCTTTATTATCC